AGATAGATAGATAGATAGATAGATAGATAGATAGATAGATAGATAGATAGATTTTCAGAGGGGCAAATCCCAGAAAGGGGGGGCTCTCTGGTGCAATTCAGAATCCGGAAGTGAGAGAGCAATTAGAAAGGAAGGAGGGCTGCTTACTCAGAGCAATGGCTGAAGAGCACAGATTACACCCTCCCCTCCCCCCCCCATTGACATATCTTGATCCGCTGGCTGTCAACGTGGAGGCATTTGATGTCAATCTGCATAATGAGAGGATCTGGGAGAACCAGGCCCACGGCAGGCAGAGAAGGGAAAAGGGCATCCATTTTCGTGATTTATGGGGTTCTTAAATCTCGGAGAACCGCATAATTCTCACCATTGTATATCTTACTCTGTTGCTTAAGAAACAGCGCGTGAGCCCGAGCACCCTAAATGAAATGTAAATAGTTTAGTCGCTGCGCTAAAAGAAGAGAAAGAACCAGGGGGGGCGGGGGGCCCAGTCCTGGGAGAGGAAAAGTAGGAAATTTGATTTGCTGGAGGATAAAAGATTAATTCCCGTTACTCAAATCGGTTTAAATGTAAGCAACGGATAGATTTCTGGAACAAGAGCTGGGGTCAATTTGACTGTGGAATCGCTCTTGATGGAGGGAAGAGGTGGAAAAAAAATGTGGATTAAGGATGATTAAATTTCTGGAACTCTCACCTGAGTAGCCCGCAAATAACCCCAATCACAGAAGAGGTCAATGGCCCTCTTTATCTTTTCTCTTTTCTCCCCCCCTTCTTCTCCCCCCCCCCCCAAAGTGCTGCATTTTGCTGAAGGAGGAATTATTTCTGGGAGAAGATTTCAAGGTAGCAATTACCGAGCCCACTCGAGATGGGGGAGAATGGGGGGGGGGAGAAAAAAAACTCAGCCGCTCTGATTGCAGATCAGATTGCAGAAGGGAATTAAGAAGGGAGTAATAGATCAGCCAAGGACTGACAAGGATGGATTTCGGACCTGCCAAAAAGGGTTGTGTTGTTGTTGCACGGAGGACTCTCTCTCTGGCCCTGGCAGACAGCTCGGAGGGGGAGACAGGAGGCGGGCAGGGCCAGGAGTCCTGGGAACGGCTCTTGATCACGTCTCCTGAGTCCTGGATGCAGAGATACTTAACCCCAACAACTTCAAGGTGAATGGAATCCCACTCCCAGAATCCCCCAGCCAGCATGCTTTAAGAGGGGTGGGCTTCCACTCNCTGGCAAATTCACCTGTGCAGCTGAATGCCCGACTCGGCCTCCAGCTGGGCCCAGAGCCCCTTCGCTTCGGCCATCAGGGCCAGGTAGATATCCTGCGGGTAAGCGCTGCGGGTGATGCGGCTTTGACCGTGGGAGCTTCCCCGCGTGTGGGGCAGCGGGAACTGCGGGGGCAAAGAGCGGGACACTTTCGCGGTGTGTGCCTGCCCCACCACCCTCCCCGTAGCCCCCTCGGCTTGCAAAACCTCCCCCTCCCTCGCTTCTCTGGGCAGCGCTGCAGGCAGAAGTCCGTCCGGGCAGCGCCGCCGCCGCTACCTGGTCCAGCAGGAGCGTCTTCAGGCGGCGGCGCGCCAGGTGGTAGGCAGCGCAGGAGCCCTGGATCCCGGCGCCCAGCACCAGGGCGTCGAAGAGCCCGTCGTCCCCCGTGGCAGCCATGGCTCCGGCACCCTCCGCCCCGGACAGGGGGAGGCGAAGTCCAGCCGGCTTGGCCGCCAGCCCGGGCCCGCCTTTTGGCAGGAAGGGCGCCGCCGGGGGTGGGGGGAGGCCGGGCAGTCGCCTCGCCCTCCCTGGAGTGGGGGGGGAGATTGCAGGGGCCGAAGTCAGACCCTGGAAGGCGCCTGGGGCTCCAGAAAGTGAGTGGGGGGTTGCGGGGGTCAGGACTCTGGCGATTCTCCCTGTCCAACTCATCAGCAGTTCAGCTTCAAGGAGGGAAGCGATCTGGAATGAAGGAGAAACAGTGGGGACCATTAACCAGTGGAACAGCTGGCCACCAGAAATCATGGGGGTTCCTTCACTGGAGGGTTTTGAAAACGAGATTTGGACAACCGTTTGTCGGGAATGGTACAGGGTCTCCTGCTTGAGCAGGGGGTTGGACTAGAAGACCTCAGAGGTCCCTTGCAGCCCTAGGATTCTGTGATTAAGTGAGGGAGGGAGGTAGCAGGGAAGGTAGGAGTGAGAGGGAGGAAGGAAGAGGGAGGAAGGAGAGGAAGGGGGAGGGAGAAGGATGAGGGAGGGAGGAAAGGAAAAGGAGGGAAGGAAGGAAGGAAGGAGAGGGAGAAAGAGGGAAGAAGAAGAGGGAGGGGGAGCGAGGGAGGGGGAAGGAAGGAGGGAGGGTGGAAAGAAAAAAGACACGGACATGAACTTTCTCAAGATGGAGCGACCCAGATTGGGGGTCTGAGAGCCCCTTTTATTGAGATAGGACAAAGGCAGGAGGAGC